TGACTAGGACTAGATACTCATCGGAGTTATACTGCACCCTGGCTGGCTCTTCCTTTTGTTGTAACCCTTCAGTGAGGGGATGTCCAATTGTCTACGGATGGGCTTTAGGTCTCTACTTCAACCCCCCTTGTTCACATTGAAATGTTTGTTTGTTTTGGGTCTTCTGATGCCTGATACCTGAGCCATCGACACCTCGTGATCACATGGATTGGTGTGCTTCTCCCATGTGGGCTTTGTTGCTTCCCAGCTAGATGGCCTCTTGTTTAACTTCAAGCCTTTAAGAACCCAGACGCTATATATTTTAATAGCCAGGCATCATCATCTTTGTTCATATTAGCTTATGCACCCATTTTGTCTTCAGCAGTCATGTCAGAAAGGTGAGCAACACACAATGCCAGGTTATTAGAACAAAGTGTTCTTGTGTTGAAGGAGGACTCGAATAAAGGCTTAATGTCTGTCTGCTAGCTTAATACTTAACCTATAAATACATGCACATAGACCTACATCCTGTCATTATATATTAATGTATTCACGTGTACATGCCTATTTTTTACCTCTATAAATGTCTTTGCCTTCTAGTTCTTTTGCCCAGTTCTTTGCCTTTGTTTCTTTTTACTTTCCTCCTGTACTTCTATCACCTTCATTCAGCTCTCTGTACTTCCTCTGAGCTACATTGCACTTGATGTAACGCCACCAGACATTCTATGCCCTGCTCACCATTGATTTTAGATCTCTTGTTGTTCCCTTGTCACTGAGTTTGTTAGCTCCCCAGGCCTTTCCCCCACCTTCTCCTCTCCCCTGTCCCCCTGGAACCATTGGTCCTGTTGGTTTTTTGTCGGGATTTTTATCCTGCCTGTCTTAATGCCACTGGACAACATAAATGTTTTAAATTAAAGAAATAAATAATAAATGTATGCTATAATCGTTTAGGGTTGCTGAAGCCTGTAAGGTAAGGTCTTAAAAGTGAGGCTTGGACCATGATATTAAACTTTGTTTTCCCTGGGAGTAGTAACTCATTTTCCCCATTAATTGAACATTCCGTCTAGTTTGTCTGGCTCTTAAAGAGCCCTGGTGGAATTGCGGGGTGAGCATTGGGCTGCTGACCACGACGTTGGCGTGCAACCCCCACCTCTCTGAGGAAGAAAGATGAAGAGGTCTGCTCCAGTGAAGGTCCGCAGTTTGGGTGACACTGTCTAGGGTCCTTCAGAGTCAGGATTGACGCAGTGACAATAGGTGGGTCTAACGATCATTAATCAACACCCAAACTTTCCACAGAACTCTAAAATTCCTCTCCAAAAGGGCAAAGACACCAGGTAATCTCTCCACTTTGCCCTTGGAAATACCCCTCTGCTA